TCACAAAATAGAAAGTGGCTGTCAGAACATATCTAAAGCATTTAAAATCCCCATTTCCACCATCAGGGCAATAATTAAGAAGTTCCAATCAACTAAAGATATTACAAATCTGCCTGGAAGAGGACGTGTATCTATATAATCCTAATGCACAATGAGGAGGAGAGTTTTGAGTGGCCAAAGACTCTCCAAGAATCACAGCTGGAGAATCGCAGAGATTAGCTGAGTCTTGGGGTTAGAAAGCCTAAAAAACAGCCCCTACATCACCAAATGTTGTTTGGGAAGGTTTCAAGAAAAATCCTCTTCACTGAAATTGGGGGGAAACTCACATTATGAAATAAATGTTTTTCTCCAATGCATGTTAGCCACAATTATTTGCACCCCTAGAAATTATTATGTGTAAAATCAAGTATATTCCCATTCATATTTACAATTTTTTAGCACACCAGGGTGACTACTGAACAGGTGACCTTTTAAAATAATCAACACTAGCTTAAGTCTTAATGCTTACAATAAAAAAATTTTTTTTTAAAGTTTAGGAATAACACTGCTCTAAAACTTTTAAGAACATTTTTTAAACATTCTTTAACGTTTAAAAATACTTTCAACAAATTTTGACTGGTAACAGTCAACTTACATCAAGGGCAATAATTAAGAAGTTCCAATCAACTAAAGATATTACAAATCTGCCTGGAAGAGGACGTGTATCTATATAATCCTAATGCACAATGAGGAGGAGAGTTTTGAGTGGCCAAAGACTCTCCAAGAATCACAGCTGGAGAATCGCAGAGATTAGTTGAGTCTTGGGGTTAGAAAGCCTAAAAAACAGCCCCTACATCACCAAATGTTGTTTGGGAAGGTTTCAAGAAAAATCCTCTTCACTCATCCAAAAACAAACTCCAGCATATTCAGTTGTCAGACATGACAGGAACTTCGAACGGGACTGGCTTCTGTGGCCAGATGAAACTAAAAAGAGAGCTTTTTGGCAGCAAACCCACTAGATGGGTTTGGTGCAAACAGGGATAAAAAGTACCCCATGCCCACAGTTAAATATACTGCTGGATCTTTAATTTTGGTGGCCTATTTTTCTGCCAGAGGTCCTGGACATCTTGTTCAGATATTGGCATCATGGATCCTATCAAATGCCAACAGATAAAAAAATCGAAAAGTGACTGACTCTGTTAGAAAAAAACCAAAGAATATAGTTCTGATGTGCAGAACAAGATTGTTGAGCTTCACAAAATAGAAAGTGGCTGTCAGAACATATCTAAAGCATTTAAAATCCCCATTTCCACCATCAGGGCAATAATTAAGAAGTTCCAATCAACTAAAGATATTCCAAATCTGCCTGGAAGAGGACGTGTATCTATATAATCCTAATGCACAATGAGGAGGAGAGTTTTGAGTGGCCAAAGACTCTCCAAGAATCACAGCTGGAGAATCGCAGAGATTAGTTGAGTCTTGGGGTTAGAAAGCCTAAAAAACAGCCCCTACATCACCAAATGTTGTTTGGGAAGGTTTCAAGAAAAATCCTCTTCACTCATCCAAAAACAAACTCCAGCATATTCAGTTGTCAGACATGACTGGAACTTCGAACGGGACTGGCTTCTGTGGCCAGATGAAACTAAAAAGAGAGTTTTTTGGCAGCAAACCCACTAGATGGGTTTGGTGCAAACAGGGATAAAAAGTACCCCATGCCCACAGTTAAATATACTGCTGGATCTTTAATTTTGGTGGCCTATTTTTCTGCCAGAGGTCCTGGACATCTTGTTCAGATATTGGCATCATGGATCCTATCAAATGCCAACAGATAAAAAAATCTAAACCAGACTGTCTCTATTAGAAATCTTATAATAGGCCGTGGTTGGATCTTCCATCAGGACAATGATCCAAAACAAACATCAAAATCAACACAAAAATGTGTCACGGAGCACAAAATGAAACTTCTGCCATGGTCGTCCCAGTTCCCTGACCTGATCCCTGTAGAAAATGAGTGGGGTGAACTGAAGAGCAGAAGCACCAACATGGAGCTGTGAATCTGAAGGATCTGGAGTGATTCTGAATGAAGGAATGTTCTCTGATCTCTTGTCAGGTGTTCTCCAAACTCATCAGGCATTAGAGATAAAACTCAGAGCTGTTATTTTGGGAAAAGGATGTTCCAATAATTGGGTGCCAATAATTATGGCTAATGTGAACTAGAGAAAAACATTTATTTCACAATAAGATTTTCCATCCACTTTCCATTGTTTTACTTCAATGATAGGTTTAAATTTTGTGAATTTTTTGAATGAAAGATCAAAAGGATAAACGATGCAGATTTATTTTCACAGCCACGTTTGCTCATATTTCTCTTCAGAATTTCTTGATGAACAGAAAGTTCAAAAGACATTATAAATGTCTTTACTGTAACTTTTGACCAATTTAATGCATCCTTGCTGAATAAAAGTAATGATTTATTAAAAATATACCTATCTATCTATCTATCTATCTATCTATCTATCTATCTAGCTCTGTCTGTCTGTCTATCTGTCTATCTGTCTGTCTATCCATCCGTCCATCTATATCGTTCTATCTGTCTATCTATCTATCTATCTATCTATCTATCTATCTATCTATCTATCTATCTATCTATCTATCTATCTATCTATCCATCTATCTCTG